CAATGTTCATAAATTTGATGAGAAATGTAATGGGGCGGACGTTACCCCTTATGAAATCAAGGATCTCACAAATTGTTGCCTTCATGTGGGTCTCACGGATGTGCGCTCCATTGGTTGTTATTACACATGGACTAATGGTTCGGTTTGGAGCAAAATTGATAGGGCAATGGTCAATGATATTTGGGTGCAAAATGGGGCATACGTTGATGCAAATTTTTTACCTTCCGGATGCCTTTCCGACCACTCCCCTTGCATTGTTTCTATTCATGACCATGTTGGGAGCGCTAAAACACCTTTCAAGTTTTTTAACATATGGACTAAGCATGAGGACTTCCATGATCTTATTCAAGCTTCTTGGAATTTTAATATGCGGGGGACAAAGCAATTTATCCTGTGCAAGAAGTTGAGCAAACTAAAGGAAGCTTTGAAGGAGCTTAATATTAAGCATTTTGGGTGCATTTCGGATAGGGTAAACATGGCAAAAAATGAATTGGAAGCTGCCCAAATTCAACTACATAATCAGCCCATGAATGAAAATTTTCAATTCATGGTTGCTAAATTGAGGAAGAAAGCCCTCGGTTTATGTGAAGCGGAGCATTGTTTTTATTATCATAAGGCAAAGCGCATCTTCCTTAAGCAAAGTGATAAATATACAAAGTTCTTTCACTCCGTGGTTAAAAGGAACTCAATGAGGAATTTTATAGCTACTATTCTTAAGGAGGACGGGATATATACCACTTCACAAGACCAAGTTGCATTGAAATTTGTCAATTTCTATTCTAACTTACTGGGAAAAAAGAGTCGGTTCGGCCAATTGATAAGGACATCATTTGCAATGGGCCTTTGGTATCTTTGGAATGAGGCAATGCATTGATCTGGATATTTCTTTTGAGGAGATCAAAGAAACTCTTTTTGGGATTGAAGATGATAAATCTCCCAATCCGGATGGGTACACTTCATGTCTTTTCAAGAGCGCATGGAGGTGTATTGAACATGATTTTGTGGAGGCTATCATGGAATTCTTTTCATCGGGTTCCATCCTTAAACAAATCAACCATGCGGTCATTGCTTTAGTGCAAAATTCAAGTCATAATCCGAGTGTTGGGGATGACAGACCGATATCTTGTTGTAATGTGATCTGTAAAGTAATAACAAAAACCCTTGCATCTAGATTGAGGCCTATCTTGGGGGACATTGTGGACCAAGCACAAACCGCTTTCATTGAAGGTAGGAGTATGATGCAAAATATACATCTTGCTCAAGAACTTTTGAGACAATACAATAGAAAGAGGGTCGCTTCGAGATGCCTCCTAAAAATTGATATAAGGAAAGCTTATGACTTGGTAAGTTGGGACTTCCTCAAAAGTGTACTTGAAGGGTTGAATTTTCCTTTGAGATTTATTCAATGAGTTATGGAATGTGTTACCTCTCCAACATATTCCGTTGCTTTGAATGAGAGTATGCATGGATTCTTTAAAGGCGGGAAAGGTCTTCGGGAAGGTGATCCACTTTCCCCTTTTTTGTTTGTGCTTTATCTTGAATATTTTTCTAGAATGATCAAGGATGCTACAAATGATAGTGATTTTAATTATCACCCGAAATGTGGTCCCCTGAAGATAACTCACTTGGCTTTTGCGAATGACTTGATGCTCTTTGCAAGGAGAGATGCTATGTCAGTGGAAATTCTCATGAATTGCCTTGATAACTTTGGTTTAGCATCGGACTTGAAGATCAACACTTTGAAATCCAGCTTCTACATGGCTGGGATTTATGGGTTTGAACTTCAAAGAATCGTGGAACTCTAAAATTTCCCGAAGGGTACTATGCCTTTTCACTACTTTGGTATTCCTCTTACTTCGGAAAAGCTCAAAGTGAGTTCATATGCTCCATTCCTTGATAAAATTGCAACTTATATTGGAGCTTGGAATTGCTCATCTCTTTCTTATGCCGGTAAAGTGGAACTCATTACGTCGGTGCTTCAAGGTGTTGAATGTTTTTTGCTTTCTATTTTCCCTATCCCGGCTACAATTATTTCAAGGGTTGTTAGCCTTTGTTAGAAATTCCTTTGGGGATCTAAGAAATCTTTGATTGCGTGGAAGGATCTTTGCCTTCCAAAAGATGAAGGGGCCTCGGATTAAAGGACTTGAAGAGTTGAAATTTAGCGTTACTTGCTAAATCCCTTTGGAACATACATCATAAAAAGGACCCTCTTTGGATTCGGTGGATTCATCAAGTATATCTTAATGGGACTTGCATTTGGGAGGTTCGTCCTTGGAAATATCACTCTCCACTCTTTAAGAAATTGTTGAAAATCAGAGACATATTGTGCGAAAAGGGAGCTGCCCAACAAATTTTTCCTAACGGACAGTTTGTTCCATCTAGGCAGATGGACAATAGAATTATATTACCTCGATCTGCTAGTTTAGCCCCAAATTACCATGCTAGGCACCCATAGAACATGGGCCAAACTGGGTAGAATTCAGACAGTTGAGTTGACAAGTTGACAGTTCAATACGGGGGATAGTTTCTAGGATTTTTGGATCAGTTTCTGGGCTGCTCAGCAGGAGATAAATTCAACACAAAAATTGCCTATAATTTCTTTAGGCCTAAGGGTACATTCAAGATTTGGGGAGCAAAGTTTGGAACCCGTGCATTACTCTGAAGCATTCCTTTTTGCTTTGGTTAAGGTTTCAATCTAAACTCCTAACTAAAGAAAATTTGCAATTTTTGGATATTGATCATAATTGTGTGTTTTGTGGACATTTGGCAGAAACTTGCGACCATCTTTTCTTTAAATGTTCCTTCACATGTACCTTATGGGAGAATATTAGGCGATGGCTCGACATCAAAAGATCTATGTCAACTCTTGCTAGCGCTCTTAAGTGGTTGAAAAAGGAGGCCCGTGGGACGTCATGGCAAAGTAAAGCAAAGAGGATTGCTCTTGC